TATAACTATATAGGCTATATATAAAACCTTTTCTCTATTATTAGACGTGAAAATATTTTTTTACATTAGAAGCAGTAGTTTTAAATCATTCGAACAATCTCCTTCTGTTTAATATATACATATATGTAAATTTACCTAATTTACAAGAAATTTTAATTTAATTAACGGCCTAAACGCCTGGCGAACGACTTATTCCTTGGCTATGACGAGAAATCATTAACTGCGCATAAAACTGCGTATAACGTATAAAATACAAATTCTGTGAAGAACATACATACATATTACATATTATATGTATGGGTATAGGAATGTGCATTCCAATACCCATATATACATATATATATATTGTATAATGCCTATAGCCATATTGTGGTTACGCACACCATAGTCTATAGTGACTGTGAATCAACGGAAGTTGCCGGGACGACATGATATTTTGAGCGAGGCGCGCCGGGCATGCGTCTTGTACGGTATAAATATAAAGTTCCACGACGTAAGTACAGTCAGAGGCATAAAGATGTTTAGGGTGGTTCATTTTTTGGAACAACTTTCAATTGAATACTTGTAACAACAAACACACTTAACTCTGTTTCCAAGTTAACTATTTAAATAGATACGACGATCTTACTTGAAATAAAAAAAAATAAGATCAGACCTTAGTAATAACCATTGTATGTTTAGAATAAAATAATATTGTATTGAAACAGTATTGTTAAAACTAATTTTATATCTTCTTTATCATTATAATGTTGTATATATGAGTCTGATTGTAGTAACATATCAACTCCTTATTGGTGTACGCCGTAGGTAACTTTCTATATAATAGTAGTTAAAATACTATGCTTATAAAAATTAGTCACTTTATCTTATGTCACACATGAGTAATTTTATTAAATTTCCAATTTAAACTGTAAATATTATTGTGATTTTAAGTAGAGACTTCTCTGAAACGCTAGACTTTCTAAGTAATAAGAAGAATCAGCAGTTACTTACGCACATTATCTATAGATTTATTAATATAATAACAGCATGAAATGAACTAATTGATATTTTACAGCTACTTATATATTGTTAAAGTACCATTATGCATGTATTTAGAATAAAATAAAGGTTTAGCACAATGCGTTACTTCCGATGGTCCAGAATCGATTCCTAGCAAGATACAAACATTTGTACTTAATAGTATGATTGTTTGTATAGGCACAGGCATTTCACTTACAAAAAAATGTAGTAGTATTATATAACACAAATTGAGCTAACATTGGGACTTCGTGGCGCTGTGTGAATTATTCTGTGTTGTTATTATTATTACTATAAGGAATGTTTACCATTACAAGCATTTACCATTAAACCTTGATTCACATCTGCCACTCAATTGATCATTGAGACAAATAAAATGATCCCGAGCTCAATAGCAGCAGCATTATTATTGCAGACTGACTATGAACCATCAGAGCAGTTTAATGTGACCATCAAATTGTGTTGTCATCCGACTTACATATACACATATTAGCATTATCGATATATATGCCATACAATAAATACTTATTATATATTACCCTATTGAACCATCCTGATTAATTACTAGTGAATTCACCACGATGGACTAACTGACTTCAATGACAACAACTTGACTTCATGTTTAACCTATCATCTTCCACTAGTCCCCTAAGTATACCGTTAGCATAAGCAGAGGCACCATACTATTATCAGTTATTAAAAATGCTTATAAAATTAAGTCTTTCATTAGATTGCACAACCATCCCAAATATGACACTATATGCTGAAAATAAAGTGCAACATACATTAGTATACTATAGTTCTTCCAGCGAAATAGTGTATAATAAATTTCATACCTATTTATAGTAATTGTTAACTATTTTAAAATAATACTATTGCGTGCTGAGTAGCACTATGTTTAGTACGTATTAAATAATCTTAATTTACTGCTTATTGAAATTAAATTCGCATTCTCGGCTTTGTGCAGATAATATAATATAACTATATCGACTCGAGAATGCTGATGTCAAACAAACATGCTGATAGTGCAATGAAATATGTATTGCAAACCAACACTAGACAGTGCCTATTTTGCATTTATCCTTGGCCAAATTAGAAAGGATATCCGTTTATACGTCGTAACTACTCTATTATTTGGGAACCTTATTAACCGCTAACTGTATGACATTTTTTATGGATCAAGCGGCCGGTCGACCTGAATGTAAATGGTAATCGTCGTCTATATACATGAACGGCGTCACAGAGATTACCTTATTATGTGACGTGTACAGTATAACGTTCTGGCGTAGCCATTCCGGAGGATGAAGATGTTATGTCTCCCTATCTTGTAATTTTTCACTGCCTTATCTAATTCTTCAAGTGTCTTCAACCCTTCAAGCAAAACACAGCTTACTAAGTTACTTAATGTTAATATAACATGTCTTTTGGAAGGGGAAAGGGCGATTGTTAGTAATTTGGACTGATGATCTTATTGCCAGCAATATACCATGTCAGGTTGACCTCCAGGCGGTTCCCCCTGGAAACCATCGTGATCGTGAATACTTGGTAAATTTATCACGATGGGCTTACTGACATGACCTCACGCTCATCTTATCATCCTCCGTTGGTGCCCCGCCAGCATGAACCGTTAGCGCAGGCGGATGCACCATTCCATTATCAATCCTAAAATAAACATGTTATTCGTATTTTTTTAGGAATTCTACTCGTCCATAAGAATACCAGTAGAAAGTTGCTATCTTGACACTTATATAGTCAAATTACAGGCCATATTACATAAATTGGTAACTAATGGATATCATAGTTAGATCAAACTGCCAATATCGCGATGTGATTCTATTTAAATAAAAGGTACAGTTCATACATATAGAGGAGATGAGTTATCAAAAACCAAAATAAAAAACTGGAATAGACATTTCCGGTTTCGATTCACAAGCCGCTTTCAAGGACACACCCAGCCCGCACCCTACTTCCGTTCCGTGAATTGGGGTAAAGTAGGTAGGTATGTATATTGTTACGGAACCTAAACAGTCAAAACAGAAGTAATTGCTCTATAATAAGTTATGCCTATATTAAGATCTACATGTTTAAATAATTAATGTCACAGAGACAAAAAATGGGTCAACATAAGTACACCATTAATCTTACTCAAATGAAGTGGACACAGGCTTTCTTAATACCGATTCTGGCTAGTTATGAAGTTAGTGCTGAATTTATGCTAGTCCATACCTTAGCAGAATGGCAACCACCTGCTCTAAATCAAGATGGCTAACAATTATAAACTACAGATTAATAAATTTATCTACTGATTTACAGTTCTGCAGACCATAATAAGTAGCTGCCTATCCTGGCTGTAAATTTCGCCAGGTCATCAGCCAAAGTTCGTGGAATGTCTTCCCGCTTTACAGTACAAACGATACAGACACTGTGATCAACTTGTCGTATTAACACTTCACTTTCGCAACAACCCAGAATTTAAGGCATTTACTCATCTGCCGGCAAACTGCTCGTAATTACAGACCCGTAGGGATAGTTAACCGGGCATGGTAATGATAAAAGAGAAAACTACCAAAGATCACCAACAAAGGATCACTTTCACAAAGTAACTTATGTGTGTCGTGTGAAACGTTTTCTTTATTTTCCAAAAATATACCTATACGCAGATATAACTATGCAATGTGCAAGCAAATTTCCATCGAAGGCCAACCACCGCGACGGGTGCGCGTGTTCTCAGTCGACCAGATGCTTGTTTATATTTCCATTCGCGCATGCTGCGTTCCACTAGACTCGTTTGTCCACTTCAATGATCGGTAAATTCTCAGTTGGACGTTGAAATCCGATGAATATTATCAAATTGCAACATGTCTACGTGCTAACAAATGCTTATAACCTTTTGAAAATACTATGTAATTATCCAAAATAATTGTATTAATGGTTAAAACGTAGGAATTGTTCTTAACGAATACGGTAAAGCGAATTCTTATTTTAGCACTTTTACGAGTACTATATTAACTCACTACTACCAAATATTTACCTCAATTATCACGAGTCTACGTCGAAATCGACGAATGAAACATATTATTATTATTATTAATATCTGATGCAATTATGTGCGACCCGTTTTACCGTGAAAGAATGTAAAGTTCGGTTTAATAAGTTTTGCGAAATGTTTGTTTACTATCCTATTGTTATAAATCTAATGTGCATTGTTAGCTGGCTTGGAGAGCCAGTGAATTACAGTGTCATTATTAGGTTTTTAATGTACATTTTTTTAATAATCATATTGTGCATCCGCCTGCCCTGATGCTTTACTCTGGCACCAGTGAAAGATGACATGATGTCAGTTGGACCATCATTCATGAATTCACTCTGGTGTCCAGGGGGAACAGCATCAAGGTCGACTTGAGGAAATACCAATGTCCGATACCTTTCCCGCCATTGCTAGTATTTACTCTAACGGTAGAATAAATTCTCTAGTAGACAGCTTTCGTATAGGGTTTTATTCCTTGTTTTTCACCTGTTACTTAACCGACTGACTGACTTCACCAAAACTTGGCAGCACAAACTTTAATTTAAGATTCCGTATACAAATAATATGCCAATTATAGATATTTTTTTCCCACCGTTCAGTTATTAATTATGGTTATATTATTTTATAAATTTCATAAAAAAATATCATAAGCGCTAGACCTTAAAATGTATGTGTAACAGTTATCACAATGTTGTGGTAATGCTCTTAGACTAGTTCACTCACAAACTCATAACATAATTAATACCTGCAATATTATTGTAAGCCGATAGTGGTTGAGCTTAGCGGCATTAATCTCTGCAGTCGGATAGTGAACGCAGCAAGAGCACTTCAAAATAAAATAAAATGAACGTAACGTAATAATGAAATGACTTGCGAGACGAGACGGGTAGGATAGGGGGCGCGGTGGTGCCCCCACCCTTCCACCCGCCTTCACACCCGCAGTCAAGCGAGAGGCGACACTGAATCGACTGCGCGTCTTGTGTTTTTCTGATTTTACTCTACGATTGACGTTTCTTTTTTATTTTTGTTATTAGTTAAAAGTAGACAATAATGTGTACGTGTGTGAATATTTACAGTTGTTGACAATCTTAGCATAATTTGTACGGACATTTATACAAAGTGTCAGTATAGAACAGTGTTTATTACATGGATACCAGTGCCTTTTGTTTGTAAAACAGTGGATTATACGGGATTGGTGCTGTTTAGTTACTTTGAGTTCCTGTAAGGTCTCGTGGAGTCACCAGTGTAACCAGTGATTGTTGTCGTGGCCGGTTTCCGTGGAGGAAACTTTCGAAACGTGAATAAAACAGTTGGTAATGCTTTCTTAGCGAATGCAAGCCTTGGCTGCACGCATTCCGTAGGGAAGCAAGTGCCGGCATTAAGCATTTTACGGTGAGTATGATACTCAAGTTCATCGTACTTTGACACACTTTGCATCTAAAATTATTACGATGGTGACTCCATCTCTAACTCCTTGACCGAGGTGTCAAATGTCGACATATTTCACGTTCACACAATAATTATATTGATATTGAATGCTAGTTGCATTCTAAAATTCTCCTATTGAAGAGATGACCTTGAAGAGGTGAAATTGTATTGTCAATTAACACACCATAAAATAAACACTATATTATTTAGAAGAGGGTATAATTGTATAAGCAAAATATCTTGACTGATAATGAACAACAAAGATCCTAGAACAGATTGACGAAAATAATAATAACACTTCTTGGTCAGTTATGAAAATTTATTAAATAATATATTTCTTGAAACTTCTAGTGTAGGTGAATATTTAAATAATTAAATTTTGTGGTTCTTATGTACTGTTATGTTCTGCATTTATGGTTGATTATTGGAATATATATATTTATTTCTGTCTAATGTTGTGTTGGAATTTCTTCATTTTATTATTTTTTTATTTGTGTAAGTTATTAACAAATTAATATATCATATTCCAAGTTTTTTCATAATATAATAAACATAAACAACAAGTAAGTATATCAAGATTATTAGTGATTGGCGTTTGATTCAAGGATAGAAAAGTTAAATAAAAAGAATGTTAGAATATAATAACAATTGTGGGCAAATATACCAATGATTTCAAAACGATACATTACAATCTGTTAAGAATGGCATAAATATTGCTATACACTACTATATATATTACTTACTATACACAAACAAAACATGACAATATTACCTACTTTTCATTCATATTTATAGTAATATGGTAAATTATGCAAGAAATATTTAGAGAAATAATATTAAACTAGGCAGATTTGGTCAACTCCATTTCAAATTGAAACACCTCCTTTTTAACATTTATAAACAGATATCAATAAATCCAGATATTAAATTGCAATTGTATGGAGGACAAAATATCTTAATTACATACATACCAATTATGATGTAAGTCTAAAATATGACTATATCTTTACAAAAAATTTTGCGGGTTTAAACACAAGGAAAAAGGGAAACATAAAAATCAGTTCATATTTGGAAAATAAATCACTAGTAATGCTATGCTACTATATCAAGAGATCAAAAAAGAAAATCAGTGTGACAGAAATGTATGTGGGAAAATGGTATAAGGGCAATGACTGGACCAACATAGAATAGAAAAACATTGGACAAAGGAACACTGAGTATATTGGACATGCCCTATGTCTTAGGACATGCTGACGAACCAAGGCACTGAAATTGAAACTATTGAAACTAAAACAACATTAACTTACTATCAGTATAAAAGCTATATATATATATGCAAAATAAAATAAATTGCTATTGAATAATAAAAAATATATATCTAACTCATAAATATATACATACATAATTTTTTGCATGCCTAAGAAATGTCTTTAAGTGATAGTCGCCTACATTTATATCATATCTTCTGTGACCTGTATTCACCCTCTATATCTCATCAAGCTCTTATTTCAAGTTCTTAAAAACACACTGATAAAACAGACATACAACCACATGCACAGCTGCCAGTTTTTTTTATTACATTTTTATTAGGTTTCAGTCCATATGTTCACAAGAGCAGTTCCCCTGTTTTTTCATCAGTTCCCTTTTCTATTTTTATCTCACATTTAAATTAAAGACTACTGAAGTGAGTTGCAAATTATCTTTACTTCATAGTTACAGTGACCGATAATTAAATTAACTTTACTTTTTTTTGTTGTTTACTTTGTTGTTACAAAGTGTTAAATAATAAAAGATTAGATGATAGTAGTTATATGGTTTTTTATGCAGGATTTTGGTAAACAAAATTAGCATGTCCATAGTGAAATTCATCTTTTAAGATTTTCTTAATATGAAACAAAGTGACAAAATGCTATAGTAGTCAAAACTTATCATTTTTATAAATAATGGTTAAAACCTCATACTGTAGCTTATTGTTTTTTAAATTGATCAACTACAATACCATAACAGAAAATACAAATTGGTATAGTAACTGCAACAATACATACTGGTATAATACTACACAATTCAAACATTATCAAAATTCATGATATTTTTTATTGCTTCTGTGATTTTCGGCAGATTACAATAAAAAATTTCTATATCACTTCTCATATTGTTCATTATGCCTAAGGCGGCGGTTAAAGGGGAATATTTAAGTAAATTGGTCTTGGCTAACGGAATACCGAAAGTATGCATCCACAACACAACATTCCTTTCTTTCTTTAGACATACATATTAAACTCTTTTTATTTGAGATATAAAATACTAACTGACGCGCGCAACTTCATCTGGATCACACTTCTTGACATTTATCAATATATTTCGCCCAATTTGCGCAATATCTTTTTATGCCTATGTGCTATTCTAATGCATAAGCTATAATATCATTGTAAAGTTTCAAAACTCATTCAGTAGTATTGAGTAAAAGAGTCCATCCATCCATACTTATAAAGTTCCGCGTTTATATTATTAGTAGGATAGAACAATATTTTATCTTGATGTATTCTTGTAGAATTAAGTCTTTACCCTGAACCCACTTATTATTGTTGTTGTTACTGACGACACTGACTTGGAACGTGTGGAATCGTTAAAGTCATCTTAATTGTGAGAATGGCAGATGTATTCGTATTATGCTGCATGATGACCTACTAGATTCATAGTCCTACTAAATCTACAGGTCTGACACAATGAACCAAATTTTAACCCGTCACTGATTCTGTTTGCAATGATTGAAGTTTATTCCCGAATATTAGTAAGTCCTCACGTAGGAATTTCGTCTCGGCTGTAGTTTTTTTTGTCTATGCTACTGTTTAAGTTATCAGTTCTCTCAATTGAACTCTGTAGATAGCATGGCAAAATATTACATTTTGAAAAACCCTCCAAATTTAGAAATACTTTAGATCCAACTTTTATGAATATTTGATACCCAGGAGTTTGCTTTCTTGTGTGTGAGCAACAAAGTGGGTTCACACTTTGTTCCTCACGATAGTAAGCGGCCCATGTGATCCCAATATTTATCTAAAAGTATTTCATCCTTATGCCGTAGTACTGACTGTATAAGCTGATGGCTAGAGTAAAATGCTCATCGTAGCAAATGATGGTTTCCAATGAGAGCGGTACATTGATTAGACTGGAAATATAATAGTAAAAAGGGTCACTACTCCCCTTTACTTAGGTCACTGATAATATCCTATACTGTTGAACATACACTGTTGTATCGATCGAATATACGTCAATTCTTTATCGATTTTCAAAATTTTTGTGTAAAAGAGTTTACTCCCATAGTAATTGTCACCAAGCCAGGGGCTGATAATGTTATTCCAGGGTAATTGAGGTATTATAGACTGATACTATGTTTTTGAGCTTTTAAGATAATTTGTTCAGGTATTAACCCTCTGGGAATGTTACTTGTAGATATTAAGGATTTAAGTAGTTTTTTCCCGGCCTAAACACGCGTGTATTTCAATCAGTATGGTATATTATGTATAAGTTAGTATTGGATTGTAGAACTTACATTAAGCCAAAATACTTTGTGATGTTACTATCATACTTAAAAAACTGACGGAGTACCTAATAGAAAGTAGTATTTATCGTCTATACCAATACAAGAGCATGGAGTTTAACTAATCTGTGAAACCAGTGCTATCGCTAATGCATTGCCATTTTTACAATTAAAGCTTGTTTACGGTGTATTTATGTCCGTTTAAGGAGTCACATAATGTGGCCAGAAACAATAGTTTATTTTGGCCAATGCACATAAAAAATCCAATTCTACCGCTAAAGAATTACTTAATGTAATATTTCATTTATATTATAGATTATTTTCTTATATAAAAGAAAGTGACGAAATGTTATAAGTAATAGTAGAAGTTTGTATGATTTTTTTATTATTATGAATAATAGCACTAACTTCATACAAAGTAACAGTATTTATGTCTGTTTAAGAAGTAACAGCACATGAACAGCACTCTGAATCATCAATAATATCATCGCGTTATTCGTTTCTATAGATGGTATGATTGTTAACAATTTTCCGTTATTTATATGACACAGAGGTTTGGCCCCCAGTTGACTGTAATTCTGAAATGTTGTATAAAGACCTACTTAGAACTTGAAAGTAATGATAAATGCAAAAGAATATCGTTAGTCTGTTCACTAACTAATTTTGGTAACGAAATTAGTTAATACTAGCTGACCCGCGACTTCGTACTTAAGTGTATTCTGGTAAGAATACATGTTTGAAAACGGCACCTAAATCGTTCAATTCATTTCTAATATTAGCGTGCAGAAACGCAAAGATGAACATACAAATATTGTAAAAATCATTATTTTAATCAAGTCTCTAATAATAGTCTGGTATACATATGAACCGTAAGTGGCTATTTACATATCTATGTATAAATGCGACATTTTATTTAAGTTAGTCATTATTTTGTTTTTAAATCGTTGTCTTCGCCAGATAAAAAATAAACTGCTATTAACGTTGTGAACTTTTAGAACGATAAAATGTTTAATGATAAAATGTAAGTAGGTATGTATCTCAGTTATAACTGTAGCTAAGGGCTAGATATACTAAAAGTTATTTATTAAATTTTATTTAATTTTTGTTATACATATATTGAGGGTCTTGTAAAGTGCTCCAGTTACCTTATCCTTTCTTGTTGTATAGTTTATTATTATATAAGTATTGTGAAACATCTATAAATATACCATTTCGCCAATAAACCCTAAATTAAATTCCTATGAATTTAATGCCAGTTCGGTCAGAGGTGTTAGCAACTAAACGTTGTGGTGAACGCAACATTTATTGAGAATATCGAATTTTTCGTGGCATGGGGCTGGCCAGCTATCGTTTCACGGATACGGTTTTGATGTTGTCAACACCAGTCAGTCAGAAACATAAATTGACATAAAATTTCTGAGTTAGGCAGATTCGTACTCACGACCTTTTATTGTGGGTGGGTTAAGCGCCATCGGTGTCAGACGGCATAAATAAATAAATAGACCACGCCAATCTCGGCAACAATTAACGTTCTCACAGAAATAAGAAATAGCATTCTATTATCGAAAACACTCAAGTATGTTGTAATGCATTCTTTACAACAAAAATAAACCTGATATTCATCACTCAAGTATCTGATACAAATAATATGAATATCTCGTGATTGATGTACCTGTTAATTTTTGTTATAGCTATTGGAATGTACTCTATAAGCAAATAGTACATTTAGCATCTGTTGCAGCTATAAATTGCTAAAAAATGTTTTATATTGTATACGCAGTGAGGCGAGCGGCGCGGGTGGCGGGGCGGGCAGCGGTGGGCTGCTGGCCATGAACGCCACCCAGGTGCAATGTGAGCCCCATGACCCGGTCGTGCTCATTAAATGTAAGTATTTCAAGTACCATACATGACATTTGTCAATCGAACCTAGTGTATACAACTTATTCAGTAAAGCATAAGTATTTCGTAAAAAGAGCATTCTCATGTTCATCAGCATGATTTTAATTATTTTCGAAAATAACATAAAATATTTCATTTTAACTGAATAACAAAAAGCGGAATCTGATCATTGTGATAGTAGGTAAGCTTTTTGAAATAATAATTTACGTAAATGTAGTTGATAACAATTTGAACTTCGACATTTCTTTTTAATTTTTATGAAAATCACGATAACTATTATAGATTTATAGGCTGTTCTAGTTATCAGACATAAAATATATGTGACAAGATTAACACGTGTTAGCGCTGCGTAGGTATGTGATATAGGTAGAACATATTCTGGAAAATTTTATCACCTATAGAAGATAAGTGTTTCCAGAATTCCCAAGCAGACAGCCCTATTACCACCGGTTAATATTACCGTATTTACTAATTATCGCCAAAATGCTGATTTTATTGCATAACATGAATAAATTGCTCCCTTGTATTTCTTCTGACAATTACGTCATATTTGCAATTGATATTGACAGTCATCCGACAACTATACGTACAATAGATTAAGCAAATAATATATTATCACTGTTAAATAATCTATTACCGCCCACAAAGTAAAGGCCATTTTTGCGAATTGCAATCATGGGTGCCGTCTATGAGTAACGTTTAGCCATAACAGTCGTCCAAATTAATGAAAGCAACATGTGGCACTCACTACCTCTGCAATGTGCTTGTATATTTTTGGACTCGGCTTGATTACGGCGCCGTTTGCTGGCACGTTTGAGCGTAATCTCTGTCTATGTATCAAGACGTAGTACATTTGTTGTTAATATTCGCAATCAAAACAAGGTTATATTGTATCATACTTTCAGAACTTTCTATTTCTATGTGTGTTGATTTGATGTACTGTAACAATTTATGTAGTTTAGAAATATATTTTTTACATTAGATAACGAAAAATTCAGATAATATATGATGCGACAATCTAACAAAAAAACAATACACACTTAGGATAAGAAACTTAGTTTCCGATAGACATCTAAATTTACACTTTAGAAGAGAGAAAAAAAATTACCTTTGAATTTTTTTGTATAGAATCAAGTGATGATTCTGTGTGCAGATAAATAACAATTAATAGATATTATAATTATTACTTTCTTTATACATTACATAAAATTATAATATTCGTATAGTAATCTATTTTCTTAACATGCGTTTTTTCTTATGGATATGTAATAAATAAATAGACTCCATTCCAACTAGAGCGAAATATGTAGGTATTACTTTAACTAAGTGGTTGATGGTAGGTTTCAAAATCGCTTAGTTATCAGTATCGTTTATCGGTAGACATCTACAGATACCGAGTAGATCAGTACAAAGTTTGTGCACGGTAATGAAACTTGTATTTTATCACGCAAGAACTTAGGTTCTGCACTCGCCATTTCTAGAAATAGCGACAATTGTGTTTATTTCCGTCTCCTGAAGCTCCCCCGTTGCGTCGACGCTCTCAATTGATGCGGGAGCCATATGTACAATTTAGCTTTGTTTGTCCCTAACAATTATAATTACCCACTAGAGTGTAGCCAGTGTTGATATTAATTTTTCCGACGTGCTTACTGTACAGTAAGCAATTGACAGTCACCAATTATGTTAATCCTTGGTTTAGTTTTGAGCGGTATGTGCGGTGTGGTGCACGCGAATGATGCATCTTCGAATTAATGTCGGTAGTGCGAGAAGTTTTCATTGTTTTTGTGCTAGTGACAGTGCAGTGTCAGAATGCAGTTTACGTTGGTAATCGTCGTAAACAAAGTGAAACTATGCCCGGTAATAGAGGAGCCCGTCAAGACTTTTGGTAAATAAACAATTATTCAAGAATACCTATAGGTATACACATATTGCTGAAATTTACAATTTGATATTGTTATTAAATATATTATACTATTGTCATTATTTGCATTGGTCATATATCAACACTAAAACTTTAAACGTTAACCTTGACAGGAGGCTACGGCTTACCAAAATGTGCGAAGTATGGAAAAACTAGATACCTGGTTTTTATTTGTACTCACATACAAACGAATTACATGACATTCCTTCTAATAATTAACTTAAATGTTATATAGATAAAAGTAAAGATAAAACGATGTGATTTAATGTTTTATTGAAAAACTCAAATTAATTAAATATTCATTCACATATATAAAACTACAATTTTAGAGAGAAATAGGTATGAAAAAAAAATAAGATCAATACTTCTTAATAATATTGTTAAATATTGTAATTTCTCCATAGAATTAATTTTAACAATAAGTTTTGTAATAAACCTAATAGACGCTTCTCTTTATTATTAATAGACACAAAAATTGACTATTAAATACTGACGTAATATAATTCAATAGTATAACAGAATCAGAGACCTACTTCATAAATTACAATTCGGATAACTACATAAAGTTAATTTAATACAAACTGAAAACATTACACGAATGAGTAGGTTGGCACCGCCGCCGGCCTCTTGTGTGGCAAGAGCCATCGAAGCAATATTGTAAGTGACATTCTTAACCATCTGAATAAACGTAATTGAACAATTTCTATCAACCCATTGCCCTTATCTACTAGCACGTAGTTGGACAAATTCGATGCCACAATTGGCCGCAGCTGCTAATCATTGTTAAGAGGCCGTAGATTCAATATAGCCAACTAGGTCATTTGGGCTGTAATTTACAGCATAATTCTAATATAATATAGTAGAGGGACCACAGATATAGAAAATAACTAAATAGTGAAACTACCTTAGAACAATAAACTAAATATTATTCTATTAATTAAAGTCTTACCCACAACAGTCATCAAATGAATACCTAGACAGAGTTCCTCATACTACTCATTGAAAACCTCAAGTTTTATTAGTCAGTGACACATAAATTGATAATGTCAAAACATTACTCTAAATTGACGTCAATAGAGCATTTTCCTAAGTACATAAAGGAGCACAATCGCACAATGAGCCCACATATTCCTGTATACAGCTCTCCGAGATTTGTGTCAAGCACATAATAACCCTATACATGTTCGATTGTTCGCTCGTAACGGCCTATTTGCTGCATTCTTATCTGAAACTTGTAATATCGCAGCATGAATCATAACATCTAGGCGGTTGAAACAATGAGCGTGTGAGTGACGGGGCGCGACTGCACGCAGCCGCCGGCTCAGATCTCGACTCGTTGCGATATCGAGATAGTTCGATACTGACCGCCCATAACCAATTCTTGTTATGGACCTGCCGTTTCACTATTTATGTTTACCTGTACAGTACATCAGGTTAGTGTTCCATCTTACGAGGTTATCGGTTCTGGAGTATAACGGTAATAATTCCATAGATAGATCTGTGGTGTATTGCGATCTGCGACATCAAAAGTAATAGTGTCTCTTATATGTTTGCCGCGCAAAAAGATAAAAGCTGCAGACTGCATGACCGCCCATATTCGCGGTAAAGTTATCAAGTCCAAGAATGTTATCTCTGCACCGATATTATATGATTTATGTTTAGTTAGCTACGCTATCTAGAGTAGAGAAAGGGAGGTCAGCAGAGTGTTCAGGATGTGTACATCTTAATTCTTCTCAGAGTTGATAACGTACGCACGTAGGGTTACGGACCCTGACTTATTTTATCACCAAACAATATTCATATCATTGTGTTTCTTGTGTTACTTATATAAAGTAAAATATTATATACTTTTTATGAAACAAAATATTATAATCGTATAATATTTTACTTTACTTGCTAAGTAAATATCTAACTTCTTTACTGGTTTTTAAGGTTAACAAGAAATAATCCCTCCAAGTCCGCCTGTAAATCTTCTATCGTTTTTCATTTATACGAAATATACATTCAACACACTTTATATACGTTGAGCCCGCGTTTTAGTATCCTAATAACTTTTTGGTTTGTTTGTAAACTGATTGGAATAAAACAAACACTAAATTTTAACTGAAGCTTACTTATATACATTAGTTAGAAACCCAACTTAAATCAGCAACTAAGTCGTTTCTGAGATTAGCGCACACAAACGCAAAGACAAAAATACTAACTTTGTTTTAGGTTCTTTTTCGATGATACTTCATCATATAACTCCCAATAATACTTTTTCTCACAGATCGTCCTTGTATATTATAATATATTTATTATATAGCATGTAGCCACAATATTACTATCAGTATCCTATAATTTTATATAATACTAATTGCAATATGTAAGTAGGTGAATACCTAAAAAACGAAATACGTTCCAAATATTATATCATTATAAATATTTTAATTGTATATCCTATTTAAATAACATATTGGATTCGTATTTATACTATAAATATCAAAAACAGCTTATAATATATAATCAATGTATATTATAAAGTATTTCTACCTGTACTACTGTAAAATGTTATAATTACGTAGTTTACAACTATCCAAAATATTTCTTACTTTGTTTTGCAACAATAGTCGTGCAAATAATTCTATGATATGGGTCGTCAACCCTCGTCGGTCAGCTCCTAGCCCCGCGAGCGGCATCAAAGTACAATCAACAACCTCATTACATTAAAGACCCATTGGCTCATTGGGAACTTGAGATGTATTAAGTTAGTTGGTGATCAAACATTGTACTGTCAACACGTGATCGCGATTGTGATTGTCGGTTCATTTGCATAAAACCCTGAAAATAGTGTTGTTGAAGTGATGTAAATGTCTATTACTGATATTATAAGTGTCCAAAGTGCTTTGTTTTATAAAAATGATAAGCAATGTTCTGAGGTTTATAATTAAAACTGATTACATAATACTATATTCTATGTAATGGAGAGAATTCAATGTGAAATCTATCAAGACAATAATACAATGAAACGTACTAAAAAGTTTGATAAAATAACCAAAATTAAACACAAGTTAATAAAGAAACATAAAATATGTAGGTAATTGTTCATTTTTTGTCGGTTTCACTTGGTGCCCCTCTCTATTGCCTCTCACAAGACTGACATAATTACTTTTTTTACACTTACATCGTTTAATGTACTTTTAATCTTCTAAACATTATATTTAAGTTATTTTGTAACAACGTGGTTGCTACCATTAGCCACATGGTCGCTTTGCCACCCACGGTCATTGATTCAAGGTCTCAATCACTTGTTGTAATATACGCCTTAATTAAATTCATCAAAACATTTAACGCTTTCCAGATATTTTTATATGTGTTCTTTGTTCGTTCTTTGGAGTCCCGAAATATTCTTTTGTGTGTCACGTTGTTTATTCGCATGCTTTTGTTTTTTGTAGCCATACAATTAACAAAAAAAAAATATACAAAATACCGGTAGTAAACAGTCGTTAAAGAAAGACTGCCAAAATAATTAACTGTACTTGTAAAAATAGCTGTAATTTAGATGTGTTATTCATGTGAAATGTCATTATTTTTCTTGAGTAAAAGGAACATTTTTCTAAACGTTATAAGTCTTAGTCCTCTGTCTGTGGTCGTAATTTTTGTTTACTTGATTTTTATCTATATTGTATATTTTTTTACCAATTTTAAATTAAACTACTTTGGGTATTTGTTATGCATAAAACTGTAACCTTTATTTAGAAGCAAGATGACTAAAGTTACACTGTTGTTGTTGTTTAATAATTTTGTTACTAAACTAAATCCTTCATCTGCAGATGAACACCGGAGCGCTGGCGGGAGCTGGGAGGAACCGGTGAGCGCAGTGCGGAATACACCTCTTCGACGCTCCCAGAGGCTGAACTCAACCCTGGATTCCCGGTTAGTTTTTGTTTGTTCTTCAAGAACTATCATTACTACGAAAATTATATGTTACCTCCTCCTAATTTACACAATTTTGCAATTATATTTAAATTTACTCCACAATTAATTAATTTTCTGCGTACCCAAAAAAAGTGATATTGTAGATATTTGTAGTTGTAATGAATTAATAAGTTTTTGCTGAGAGTCTATAATGTCGGTATGGTACACGTTAGGCGGAAGTTTCCGCTATACGTTTTTGGTAATGTCCACACACACGTCTCGTTCGTAACGCGATACGTAGTAGGTATATCAATTATCAATACAACAATCTACAATTTTTACCGAGGTAGTCTTAGTATATAGTCGTTTGCTTAGGTGCTATATCAACCAGTTTGCTTTGTAAGTTGTATTTTAGTTGAAGTGTGTGTATAAGTTAGAGAAATAAGAGGAGAGAATATAGAAACATGATACCTTAGTCTAGACTGACAATGTATACGGGCTAATGGCTCATATGACAACATGATGTTCAGTTACCAATTACCGTTAGCTATTTCAATTACACAAAAATATGTTAATTTGGTAGTAGTCCTGATTCAATCGAGTTACAATGTAATTGTCAAGTGTATATAAAGAGTACATGTCTTGCATATTACAATGTTCTTAAATAAGTGCTCATGCTATATATTATTATGGTGTTTATGATACTTTTTCGGTATGCAAGGATTGTATCGTAATCGACCGCAACTGACCATTGGATGAACATTAACAAACCTTGGAATAGTGTAATGGGTTGCATATATTAGTATTGAGTAAATAACCAAATGTAATATTTATATATTAGTATACCATTTAGCATCGGACTTCCGGCACTATGTTAAGTCTTAGATAATACGTGATCACCAATTATAAATAATGAATTTTATTCTTGACAATCGTAGTATCTGAAAATCAATATCATTATTAAATGTAAAACGATTCGTTAATGCGCTGGTAAGAACTTTTATCTAATTATACGACTAACAATTACTTAAGTACCAAAACAAAACGAAAGAACAAAATAAAGTAGAATAGAAACGAACTGAATAAGTTACGACCGGTTGAAAATGGAGGGAGCATTTCGTACGTCAGTTTTAACTATGATTGATGTAGAGTCAAAATTAGAACTAATTCTGGCGTTTAGAGGGGAAGTTTTCAACTAGTTACATATTTAGGCGACTTATTTTTGTAATTACAGTGTGCTGTACTATTTTCGTGACAGATTAAAAGAACATTATGTCTCCAATACTTTCTACCCCGAGAATGCCGAAGACTCACTACGTAAATAAAAAACATCATACCCTTGCAAAAGGCTAACCCGAAATAAAACACTTAATATTTGTGTACAAGACAATGTATTTGATATGCAATACTTGATGTACTAGTAAAAGTACTTTTACCAGATTACTGTTAAAAGTTAACCAGATGGAGAATACCAATAATTAAAATTAAAGTGTCTGTATGTAATATTAAATTAACAGCTTTTCACTGAATGCATATGGAAATATATATGATAATTACATAAAAAATACTGTGTACTTCTTAATCACTGAAACGGCATGAGCTATTTTGACACAACTAACTCGCAGATAGCTAATGTCATAGGCAGTAATTCTGGCTACTTTTATTTCAGAAACATTATTTATTTTAATAAACAAAATGTTAAAGTCTACGTGGTGGAAATCACGAGTAATAGCTGACTTATTAATTTTAAATAAATAATTTGATGGATAAACATTTTTATTTTTTATATGTATTACTAGTATAGCATATGCATATTGCATAACGTACTTGACCTAGCTACTAGACCAAACTGTTCAACGTGGTAGTAGGCTAATATCCTCCTCTTATGGGAAGATATCGGTTTCTCGCAATGAATTCTTAGTAGGTACAATTGATACTTACGTATAAATTCAATTTAGCTTAATTATAATTATTCTACATGTACCGTAATTTATCGTTGTTATAGCTATATGGATTATTACTATATTGTATAACCCACATTGTGTGTTGTAGAAGTCGTCACTAATGGCTAATTGTACTTATGTATAATTTATATTATACTAATTGTTACCCGTAACTTAATCTATACAAATTTTCATCCTAGATTATACAAGGACAAGGAAGTATCACTCCAAATACTTTATTGAAATTAAAGATAGGTTCCGACCATCCTCAAACTAAACTGCTGAATGATCATTCTTTCATTCAGCAATGTAGTCGTGAAAATGTAACAAACAAACGGACAACATTCTTCCCCATTCATAGTATTCATAATTTAATATGAAATATAACTTAGAGACCAAACAATCACCAAATTATTAAATATTAGAGATACGTATATCGACAGATGGCAAATTATGTGACTTCCTCCGCTGGTGTGGTCCTGTCGCGCCAAACAATTAGCGGTAGCCGCGCCGGCAATTAACACGAATTTCCTGTTGAAACGCGCCCAGCAGAGGGCACTGCCACCAGGCGATCATTCATATCTTATACATCGGATGCCTTCTCTCGGCTGTTCTAAGAAAATTTACAACACGGTATAGTTCAAACTGGTTCGTTGAACATAAAATGTACTAGTAGTACTTTGTGCTTTAGGAGTTAGGAATATTTTTTACCTAGACGTTTAATAAAATATCCTATCTACACTATTTACTTTATTGTGGTAAAGTATATGTTAATAAAATCCGCTATGTTTTTAATAAATACCTTTGCAATTATGATTATTGTTTCCGTATAAAAAGAATACATACTTGTTCGAGTACATGATCTTATTAATAGTTAATAAGAGTAGATACATAATTTTGTTAAATATTAATAGTTACTTATTTTATCAATTATATATGACAATTGTCGGCATAATTTAAAATAAATACTATTATAGATATACAAATCGCGCCGAATTTCTAATCTATTCAATTAGTACTACTGTCGTGAAAGCATTTAAACTGAATAGACAGTATCATAGACATCATCATTAATCTTGTTAACGTAATTTTACATAATTAGGAAGAATCACATATGTCAATGTCACATTTATTCGAAAGTATGAAATCATGCATTCACAATTAATTTATATTTGATCACGAGCTTATTATTAAAAAAAGATAAATGGTCTCCTCTCGTCTCTATTATTAATGAATACCCACATTCAAAGATATAATTATTCGAACGTATTGACTTGTAGCGTTACAGATTAAAAATATGTCAAGGTTCTGACAGTTGTCGATTTGCATGTGTACACTCTGATAATGATAAATATACGGTATTGCTCTGACACACGGACCCCCATTGTCTGCAGTACATAACATTATGATTTACAGGCTAGCTTATTATATATGACATAAATGCTAAAGTTGGTTACTCAATCGTTTAAGTATTCGAAGTTGTAATATACCATTCCCATTTAGGAACATGATGTTGGTATATGGTAATACTCCTTTTACTAGCTTCTAGTTTTGTTCCGATGTCAAGGATAAGAAAATATTGACTTTGAAAGTATCAAGATATATAGTAAGTCAGTTCTAAAATTCTTTCAGGGCAAATGTTTTGCGAGGGGGCGTTTTTAGTAATGGGGATAGGGGGTGCAATAGCTAGCAATGTATCAAGTCAAGTTGCTCTAGATATAAGCATTGCTCCTGGAATATATTATGACAGATTCCAGAGGCAATACGTGTTTTTCCCTGGAATCGTATCATGATGACTTCAGTGTGGGCACCATTCCAAATATGATCATAGATTATTTAGTATATTAGATAGTTCGGAGTGGTAACGGAAGGCTACATATGTTTGTGTGAAGGAAGGCATACATACTTATGTAACAGGAAGGACCGCGACTGATGACATAAACGGAAAGTGGTCACTGGATCTTTATAATTTTATAGTGATTTATGATTTTATATCTTTAAGATTGGACCCTAATTATTGTGTTTGGTTGGATATTTGAGTTTAACAAGTGTTTATCGGGATCCAATATAGCAAGTTCAAGGTAAAAACTGAGTTTTGTTATTTGTGGAAATAGGTCACACATTATTTGTCTAACCGTTGTGAAGAAGTGTTTTCCTTGTCAAATAGATTGGAATGTAGTAGATAAGGTGTTCGTATGTCAAACTTATGAAATATTGATAAGAATCTGGTTCGAGGCCTTACTAGAGTATTTACAATGTATGTCATTAGAGTTACGAACATCCAAAATCAGTAACCATCTGTTATATTACTTAGTTGTATCTGTCGTCAAATCATAAATGTTACTTATATTACAATTACAATAATATTAATTGGGGGATGTGGGACGATTACGTTTGTCTTTCGTCTCTTTAGACTAGAAGAAGTCATCTCAAATAATCGGCTAATATGTAAGACCATATATCAAATTAATATTCAAAATATCTTTATTCATGTATTTGAAAAGTATACATGTCGTAGACTGAATTTTTAAATAATTTTACTAATATTAGATATTAGTAAAATTATTTAAAAATTCAGTCTAACAATCTTTCTACTTCTGCTATAGTACTTTACCAAAAGAATGGAAATATGACAGAAAAATAACTTGAACCCAAAAAACACTGTGTTCAATATCAACATTTTTACAAAAGCAAAATCTCTGATAATATAATCGATAAATTGGTAATACCGACTTTAATAACTAAAATCACAATGCGTCCGTTCCTAAGTTCGTTCCCCGTTGAAAAGTAAAGGTCATCGCACGCACAACACGACACATTATCGTCGACGCTGTCACGTCTTAACATTAATATCCGTCCCAACATAAGACACTAAAGTACTTTACAATTTGACATATCACGAAGGTAAACAAAATTTTGAGGCACTTCATGAATACAAGCAAGTAAATTTTGTTCCGCAAAGAATACTTACATTCTTACATCATATATAGCGTAATACAATATACACATAAAACATATAAATTGAGAACAGAATGAATAGCAATAATCTTTCAAATAAACTTAATCGACAGCACT